CGAATCTACATCAACTACATATTGGTAAACAACAAATGAATAGTACTAAATTGGCAAAGTAAATGTAAAGCTAAACTAAATGTAGAGCTTGACTAATGGAACAAAATAAAACTTGAATAAAATAAATGTTTTGCATGTTCAATATTTGATCTTAACATTACAAATGTAAAAAATATAAACATTTGTTGTGTTTTAAACAGTACGCTGGCAAAACTGTGTCAGAAGAGACTAGTTTTTTGTACTTTTAAATAGTTATACATATTGTATTCCTCCTCACACCTGTCTTGAGTGTTCGTGGGAAGCAATGTTTTTAAGGCTTTATCAGCTTCTTCTAATATTTTATCCGAAATATGAACAATATCTTCCATTTGCAACATTTCTTGCAAAGCCCACTAAAATAAGTCTTTTTCAGAAGAAATATGACGTTATCAAATATCTGCCTGGTAAAGATGTGCTTGAATTTCTCACAATTTAAATTATTCTTAAATGGAAACGAAAAAATATTGAATGTAACATGTGGATAAAGGAGCATGATTGCACTCTCAGTAAATAAGAAAACTCTCTCCTATTGCCCCTGGTTTTCATAAACATATACCACTCATGCATTTATACCCCTCAGTATTCACTCGTTTCATTAATTACTATATAAGTATTAAGAAAAGTATTGAACGACAAACGGTGAATATCACAAATAACGACTTGACTGGTAATAAACTTGGCCTAACGCGTCTTTTTACAGACTTGAGACACGTCTCTTACTTATTCTGTATAGACGTGATGTTAAGATCAAAGAAATGACGCAGAAACGACTGATTAATGTTTTAATCTGATATAGGCATCAAAATTTATTGAACCTTCCCAATCTACACCAGTTAGCTATCAGATTTATTGCGGTCGTCACAGGGAAATCTTTACTCCAGTTAACCATTACAAAATCGGCATTATTTGATATTATTAATTATACTATTATCCACTTACAATCACTCATAGTTAAGTATAGCTTCGCAGTAAACAGCTGATCAGTCACTTCTGGTACTGCGTAGATCCTATTGAGATACTGCAGTATGGCTAATGTCAATAATATATCAGAATAAATATTACAAAAGTCTAAGGCGTCTAGGACGATGATCACTTCTTGTCAATGAGCATGTGGTGAAAAACTTCATATTACTAAGTATCACATCCGACACTTGTCCCTGATTGGAAGGCAACGCATGTTGGTGGGCACTTGTTTGATGGACTCAAAAAAAGGCTTTGAGGGCATCAAAACGTGGCAAACACTAATGCATGAAGTGTTGCCTAACGATCAGGGGCAAATGCATGTACATTTATTTTTCCGTGTTGAATAGTTTTCTATAGATTTTTTGTCAGACTGAAATATTGAATTTATATAACTTGACCTTCTTAATCAACCGCGTGCATCTTGTTATCATCAATAAACCAATAATAATGTGTACCTTAAACTAAACTTCAGTGGAGATACCAGCAATTAAATCACTCCCCTTCACGACTCATTCATTGATTTTATAAGCCAAAGCCTTTGATCTAAGCATGACCAAACTGTGAATCCCCGTAAAAATGTTTTAGTATTGAAGAAACGTATTGAAAATTAATATGAAAATAAACCAAAAACTTTTGACTTTTTTTAATGTTGAAATATTGAACAAACGTATTGGAAATGCTTTTGTTTGGTATTAAAAAATATTTTTAAGTGAAAATGTTATAGTTTATTTTTGTATAATATAAAAATAAACTATAAAATTTTCACTTAAAAATATTTTTAATACCGGCATTTACAAATTAATTTAAGTTTTTTTCTTAAACGATTGGGCCTTTTTCGATCTAGCGGGGGCCGTTGCTCGCGCATGTATTCATCCAACCCCGCTCAGTTCCCACGTCTGTCGGCCTACGTGCACGAGAAAGAAAGAAAGAAAGAACTGGCAGCTGCTCTGGAATGTACGCAACGCGCAACGATGAGGCGCGCTGCCGGCCGGACCACTGTCATATGCGACGTTCCACGTCACCTGCCACGTTGGCGTGGGATCTCGGCAGGAAAAAACACTTGGCACGCTCACGGACTTGACGTTTGTGCTAATTGTAGATCACCACTTCGGAACAAACATTCGAACATCAATCGCCGGCATGTTTCTTTCGTCAGAAGGAAAACTTTTGGAAAGAAATTCTGAAATGTTACTCTGAGGTCAACGGTATTCGGTTTGTGTTAGAGTGTAAGAAAGATGTAATAACAAAGCAATCTATAAGCATCTCGATTCTCTAACAGGAATACAAATTACCACGATAATGCTAAGCAAAAGCAGCGATATTGTAACACAAAATGCTTTGCGTATTATTTATAACAGTTTCTTAAAATATTACGTAAATTGCAATATTATTCTTTATAAATCTAACATGCTAAGGAAAAAACACAGTTATATCTCTTATCAGAAACAGTTGACACATTAAGCCCCGTGATGTTGGCTGTGTGCGACTACTGGGAATGAAATGACCTATCAAGCAGATTTAAGACAAAAACATAGAGGTACTGCACAATGGTATAGATTTTCTCGAACTAGTTAGTTTCCTTATCTCTCTAGTATATGCTAGATATTCCCCCACCCCATTACCCCAGACTTTCTCATCGGAGCCTAAAATCTTTTTTTTTTTTTTTTTTTTTTTCCCTCTCACATGTTCTCGATTTTTTTGGTACCATAATAAATGGAATTGAAATATTATTTTAAGAATATCATAGGAGAGTAAAACCTGTTCTTATGTGCAAATTTTCATGGAAAAGTTTTGAGTCGGTTTTGAGAAAATGTCATCTCAGCACTTTTGAAAATACGCAATTTTGGGCTCATTTTCATATAAACTCTTTCAAGAAACTTCATAAGAAATTAAGATATTTATGATCTTCATTTCAAGTAAATATCTGTTTTTAAACATCTGTTGTATGAGGGAATCCAAAAAATTTCAAACTTTTGTAATCAGATGGCTTTGAGACATGCAAACAGGGCTTAATTTTTTTGCAATTTTAGAAGTACAGAGTTGATTGAAAATGAAACTAGCATTAATTTTGTTACTCCTTTGATACACATCATAAGAAAATTTGGAGAATTTTGACAAAATAATTGTTTAAAAATGTTGAAAACTGCCAATATTTCATGCAAAACGCAAAAACTACTCATATACAAAGATTTGGAGTCATTTTTAAGAAAAATTTTAACATGTTGAGGCTTCATGAAAAGTACCACCCAGAATCAAAATATCCTATTCAAACTCAGATGGGCTTGACACAAACTGACCACAAAATGACCACTAACCTATCTCAACTGCACTAATGATCTACTAAGTTTTTAAATATATTCTTCACAAAAAACAAACACATTGTACTTTGAGAATTACTACTTACTCTAACCATCCCAATTTAGTTTTAGATGAGGCAAATCGACTGTTACTGCAATGGAATGTCTGATCAAGTTCACCATTGAATCATTCAAAGACACATCTCTAGTGCTCTGTGATTTAACAACAGCTTTTGATTGTTATAACTAAGCTGCTCATTCAAAAACCGAAATACTATGGCATATACAACAGCAGTAAAAGGCTTTTCCAGCCTTTTAATGAAACAAAGAAAATATTTGACAAAAGGCAACAAAAATTCCAGAATTATTGACATTGTGAATGATGTGCTGCAGGGTTATCAGTCATGGATCCATTTGTGTTTATGGTTATGATAAATGATCTAACTTATAACCTACCTGTCATCCCAATACTCTACGTAGATGATACAATACAGCAATACAGAACAATTAGCTATTCTGTCAACTAAATGCAAAAGTGCATTAAACAAAAGCGGTTTTTGGCTAATGGCCTTTTATGAATGATGCAAAACTGAAATAATGAACTTCAGTCTTAAACAACCAACAAAATTCCACAAATCACTTGACGATGATTTTGATCCAAAACTCTCTTGGAAATTCCATAACAACAAAGTCTGTTCTAAACTCTCCAGTCAATTACCTTCTATTAAAACTGGGATGTTGGTTTCCTTTAGATTCCATGAAACACTGATATTACGCTCTTTCCCAGACTTGTATACCATGGTCTTGCATATCACAAAAATATTAATTAACCATGCACACCACTATTGGTGTAACTTGAAAACTTACAGTTCATAGTCCGTGTCTATGATTCTCCATAACTGTCAAATGTATAATTTAAGACCTGACATTCATGAACTCAACACTAGGCAGAACTGAAATTGTATATTCCTAGATGCAGATATCATTATTCCAAGAAACTTGCTCCTATAATGATGTAAATTTATACAGAAGTTCCCAACAACAGTCCATAGTATCCCAAGGATTAAAGTTCTAAAATTTTCTTAAAAGTGTCTCCTGGAGAAACCACTTCATGCTACAGAAAATTTCTTCCTAAATGACTTGAGATATGGAATTTGAATGAAATAGCTGTAATTATGGGACTGTGTAATAATATATTTCTATTCAGCTCTATTTATTTGTTTCAGTTCTAGTGATAGCACTTTTCTTGTATCCTAAAATATTATCATATAGCTACATTACATTACTGGTTATCAATCACTTGTTTTGACGACAGAAGCAAACACAATTACAATATTTCATGCATCTGTTTCAAGGCAATATTCACCAAATTGAAAACAGTCACAGCCAGCCAATTTGCACCAGAGTTTACTCCAAAAGTGAAACTTTCAAATGTTTAAGTGAAGAATCCACAGTACCTTATTAACGAAGTTCATTTAACACCATTGAGCGAGATATTTCTATTTTCCCGAGTCCTTTTTAATACAATAAGATACACTTCAAAATTTGTTTGCAATCCAATCAAGTAGTGCATGTTCAAAAGTATTTCAAAAACGTTTCGAAAGCCTCTTGATGTAAAGGGCTAATCTTTCAAATCAATTTTTTTTCATACTTGAAAAAGGGTAGGTGCACTAGAACAATATGCAATACAAAACACTGAATACAAAAATACATCACAACAACAATTTTTTTATTTTGAATAAAAGCTCTTTTTGTTGTTTGATATCTTCAGTCTACAGTAAACACAGAAAATACAAAGATAATGAAAGAACAAAGAACATATTAATACAATAAAAGAACAAGCAAGTTAAGACAAAATAAATCAGACCAAAATCTTGCCACTTCACAGTAAATGGATAGAGAATAAATTTCAACAGCGTAAGATGGAAACTTTAAGGAAGAAGTCATAGATGGAGAGAGAGTATCTCCACCCTGTCTACACAGTTACTGCGCTTTCAAGTTAAGAGCAAATACATATGTTGTACCTTTACGTTTGAAAATTGGATGGTTACTTTTTAGACGTTCTGGGGATTCATTGGGTGTTTGATTGGACTCGCCAGAAGATGTCATATAATACAATGATCTATATTATGCATTGTTATAAACAAGGTATATATTGAAATGTAATATACTTTGGTATTGATAAAGAATACATCCTTTCAAATTCTGTTCAAGTATTTCAACTGGTCTACCCATGCACCACAGAGAAACATTCAAATTCTCACAGCAACAACATTCTCATCAAAGGATCTTTCTAATGTCCACAAACCATTCACAACAGATGGATTTTGGGTATGACTTACATATTTTGTATTGATAAATTTCCGTATATGAAAAACAAAAGTAACAATAATTAGAAAATATTACAACACAATATTCTAGTTTTGGACTAATATAAAAGAGAGACATCTTAGCAGAAGAAATGACAACAGAAAGCACAAATATGCTCCTTTATGTCCAGAACTTGAAGAAGGTACTAAATCAAGAATAGAATACACAAGTCAGAACCATACAGAGCATTCTAAAGTACCTCTGGAATAAATTTGATAATAATCTTTAAACCAACTAACCACACATAAACTACTTTTTTATTGTACGTCAAACATAACAGTTGAAATCATCTTATAACTTTCCTTCCAATAAAAATTTACCAAAAGTATGAAAATTGGAACGGAATAGATAATTTAGAGCGGAAAAAAGCACCTGTAATTTAGGCACTATGAATAATTTTTGTAAAAAAATTCATGAATATAAATAGAATTTAAAACATTAATCAAGCTTCTTCATTAATGTCCTTTGCTGAGAAAGATTTTCACCATAATTGCAATAAATACAACAAATTTACAGCACATGTATATAGGTCAGGTTGATAATCAGTCATAGTAATGCAAAATTTAACTCATTTTAGAATTTTATGCACGAATAATAAATATTCCAGTGGCGAATATGAACAAACAGTCATCTTAGAAACACTAGAGATCAATATACGCAAGTTGAAAGAAGTTTCCACTTCGGTACTACATCAATACCATCTGATCATTTAACAAGCACACGTATAATACCCACAGTAACAAAAAGTCAAATTGACAAAAAGTACAAATCCTCTTGGAATAAATCATCAAATTCCTATATTAAAATTTCAAAAATTACTTTGTATAACCTATTGTTTCTCTATTCCACTAGTTTTCTTAGTAAAATGCAGGTAACTATTCTCATTGGCAGTACTCAAAAACTTAAATATTTAAAATAATATTTACTCTCAAGGTATAAGAAAAAGGAATATGGACCAAAGATAAGGAAATGATGACGAAAAACGAAATACGTAACAAGTCCTGCCAACACTTGCAGATATTTATTTAACAGGCAAAACCTCACAAGAATCTCTTAATAAAATATATTTACACTAATCACATATAAGGTTTTTGCCGGTGTTCCTAAAATAGTTGTAAAGGAATATAATTGATATGGAAGTTGGTGTATGTCTTAAATAAATCACACTCAAACAATCAGAAAGTAAAAAAGAACAATACTGAGAGCATGTCCGCAGTGAGCAATCCGTTTCTAGGCAGTCTGTACCTCTGACTTCCTCTTGCCAGCCTGCCTGCCATACATATTTACATATATTCATTTATTTATATATTGGCAAAATATAAAGCTTTATATTCACAACACTATACGCAGTGTACTAGACAGTCGGATGTGGGTGAGGGGATTCATTTGGGGAACACGAACACTGAGACACGGCGAGCAGAAATCACAAAGAATCAAATTGCAATTTTGACCTGCTCTCTAGTCACTATGGCAGGCCCAGAATGGAATTAAGTAGAAGACAAAAAGATGACCTTAAACACTGCTATGTACACCGTATAACTTAACAACAAGCGCCATTGTCCAAGCCTGCAGTCCGTGCAGACAAACAAAATTTCTTTGGTTGGTGGACTCCTGCGCTCTATGTACAGTCCTGGGAAGTACAAAAACCTCTCGACTAGCATGCAGAACGTGCGTGTACATTGGGGTATATGTATAATATCATACAGTTGAGCAACAAAATGTGCGCTCAATAGCTAGCCTCATGGCCAGCCAAAATGTATAGGTCAGCCCCATCTTCAGTCAATGTGCCTGTGCGTTGGATTTCCTGACACATATGGCTCTCCAGAACAAGCACCCTGCAGAAAAAAAATACATGATAATTTAGAACGTTTTCAAAAATACTACTTCCTTCTTTATTCCTAACAGTGGAACTTAATTTCACAGGTGAAAAATCATAACATTTGGTAAGCAGAAAAAAAAAAATAAACTAATAAATTACATATCATATTTTATTTCCTGCAGTGAAATTTTTTGCCAATGGAAGACTCAATATAAAACCTAATAACCATAATTTCTTGCATTATCTCTAAATTTCCCATTTTCAAAAATTCACAGTTCAATGAAAATAAAAAAAAGAGTGCCATTCTTTTAAGCTTCCCTTGTTCCCGTGCAATAAAATTTAAAAAACATTCTGAGTGTCTTTTATAAATTGCATGAATTTAAACACACATTACACAAAAACTCATTTTTTCAAAAAATTGCACATTACTTTTTTTAAAGAGGTGATTTTTCAGAACAGATTTAAATGAGGCAAAAACCAAATTTATTGTTGTTGTGAAAAAAATTAAGCCTTAATTGAAAATGTTGAAATTGTTAAAATTGTTTTTAATTGCCTATTTTTTACGCAAAATTACATGAAAACTGCTTACATTTTTGGAAAATTGTGTATGAAATTTCTTTAAGTTTTATTTTAAAAGAACAGATTTCATTGTGGAAAAAAATATCTAACTATTGTAGTTGTAGGAAGATGCCAAAAAAGAATTCAACTTTCGTAATTTTCAAAAAATCAGAGATTTCAACAAAATTGCACAAATGTTATCATGAACTATGAGTACAGCTTCACTTCTTTTACTATACATTGAATGATGGATTAATTTTGGTACTATATCAAAATTATCCTTATAAAGGAGTTTAGAAATGTGACAGTATATCATAAAATATACTGTGAAGTGTTAGCAAGGAGGTTTATATTTGAAGAAAAGAAAGAATGATGGGCAAGGAAATATTTGCTAGGGAGTTGGTCAGTCAAATTACTCTCTAAGAACTTAAGGTTACAAGATCTATGTTATTTATGTTTTACTTTTTATGTTTACTTAAGCAGTATCTTACAAACAGATCTTTTTGATTCTTGTTACAGTTTTGGAGATTTATTTCTTCTGAGTACCTCCACTCCATAGCATGCATGTGTTGTTAGAAACAAGCAGAACTCAAAATCTATGTAAAATTAATTAGCCCATCAACAGGCTTATCATAACACACTATTAATGCTCCAACATACGAATCAGAGGACGACTGTTCGTTATTGGGATCCAACATGAAGCTATTTTCCCTTATAAAACAATAATTTAGGAAGCGCAGAATGTTCACACAGGTCTAGCTCATATGCATTAAATTTTTTTGGCAGTCATTGTTTCTTCCCCCCCCCCCCTTCCATTCTTAATCTTAATGGAACTTTTTCTCTTAAGCTTTTCTTACAGAGTTAATTAGTTAGTTAGTGCCTTATTTTTACATGGTATCATCAGGCCCAGTCATACAGTAGTTCTTCATAGTTCAAAAGCAGTAACTTACTTGTCAGAGCCTAGTAATTTATATTTACGGCTGATATCAGTAATCTCCTGGGTGACTTCACCATTCCTAAAACTTCTTCCCTGAACACCGTGTGCGTGGAATGCCAATACACTGTCTGGTAGGCACACTGGAATGCAACACAAGAGTATTACATTACACTTTTTTGGGGGGGAGTAAAATAATTTACAAAGTGTTCATTTTATTTATTCTCTTCAAATAACAACAGCAACAAAATATAATTTCAAACTTACCTATCGACTCAACTGGAAAATTGAAATCTAGCTGAGAAACCTGTTTTCGGCTCTGCTTCGGCCGACCTTGTAATGTGACTATCTTCACAACACCTGTAAGAATCATAAAAATTAAGAATATTCAAAATATGGAGAAAAGTTAAAAAGCTGACTGCTGGATGGTTACTTACTATCATGACACACTAGTATGGAATCTTTCTCGAGTTGTGTTACGCTCACCACTTTGATATGCTCTCGACGTGGGACTACAGTGGCTGTAAGAGGAAGATCTCAGTTAATGATAACCACAGTGCAAATAAAAAGCATTAAAAGATGTGTGCTTACCTGTTCCATCCATATCTTCCAGTTCATCACTATGAAACCATGAAGCACCACTGTTCATGTTTATTAACTCCAATCGTAGGCGATTCTGCTCATAAGCTTGCCTTACACTAACACACACCATTGGATATTCCAATTCAGGAGTTATAATCATTTCAAATACAGTCAGAGGAGAGGGAAGACTGCATTCTGTATACTGCAAAATAAATCATTACAAGGTTTGTCACACGTAAAGGAAACAAAGCATTTATCGCAACTGTAAATGAAGTGGCTCAAATTTTACTGCCAATAATCAAGATGATTTTGGATATAATAGAGTAATTACAAACTGAAAGTTTCTGGTGGAAATTTTTAAAACTTTTTAGAGAGTTGAGGCACCCAATCTTCTCATGTCCATTTTCTTTACAATACCTCTATTTCTTTATTACTATTCTTTCAACTCTACAATGAATTGCAAAATGATGAAAGAATGATCTCTCTTAATAAACTACACAACCTTTACAAATTTTGTTTTGTTAAAATTATCATTTAAATATTAAAATAAACAAAACAATGTTATAGTATCAATAAAAGGCAAAAGAAACTAGAAAAATAGTTTACCTTCAAAAGCATAAATTTGTTGAGGGGGTCATACCATTGCATGAGAAAAATCCCCTGAGGCATAGCCCCACAAAGGTATTTGTATCCATTGTATGGATTCCGGCCAACACAACATCTCGTGCATCCTTTTGTGTCTGGAACTTTTGTAGTTAAAGCAAATTTCCGCGGAACCAGCCGCTCAGGAATACGATTGACATGAAGAGAAAAGCGATGCGTCTGTTTATTTTGAAGAGCCAGCAAATCATGTCTGTATAACTGTGGAGTTTTCCCTAAAAACAACAAACAATTTGGTTATTTAGATTTTCACTCACGATAAGAACATAAATATGTTAACAACTATAAAACCATTCTTAAAAAATAAACAGCAAACCAATCATTTGATAAGAAGCAAAAACAAAAGAAGAACCATACGATGAGAAAAAATTCTTCAAAAACAACCAATTCACAAAAGAGGAAAACTTTACTTAAAAAATGCAGAATGCATATTAAAAGAAGAAAACTCATTCTGGAAAGGCATTCTTGGATAGAAAATTAATCTCCTGAATGGAGAGCATAAGAGGCAAGAAAATCTTCATCCAAAACACCAAAATTCTACCCAGAAGAGAGAGAGAGAGAGAAGAGGGAGAGAGAAGAGGGAGAGAGAAGAGAGGAGAGAGAAGAGAGGAGAGAGAAGAAGGGAGAGAGAAGAGGGAGAGAGAAGGGGAGAGAGAAGAGAGGAACGAGGAAGAGAGGAGAGAGAAGAGAGAGAGAGAAGAGAGGAGAGAGAAAGAGAGAGGGGAGAGAGAGAGGAGAAAGAGAGAGCGAAAGAAGAGGAGAGAGGGAGAGAGAGAGGAAGAAGAGAGAGAGGGGAGAGAGAGAGAGAAAGAAGAGAGGAGAGAGAGAGAGGAAGAGGAGAGAGGGGAGAGAGAGGAGAGGAGAGAGAGGAGAGGAGAAGAGAGGAGAGGAGAGAGAGGAGAGGAGAGGAGAGAAGAGAGGAGAAGAGAGAGATGAGAGGAGAGGGAGAGAGGAGAGAGAAGAGAGGGGACCGCAGAGAGAGAGGAGAGGAGAGAGAGGATGATGGCAGAGAGAGAGGAAGAGGAGAGAAACGAGAAGAGAGTGGGAGAGAGGAGAGGAGAGAGAAGAGGGGAAGGAGAGATGGGAAGAGAGAGGCGGAGAGAAAGAGGAGGAGAGGGAGAAGGAGGAAGAGAGAGAGGAGAGGGGAGAGAGAGGAGAGGGAGAGAGAGGAGAGGGGAGAGAGAGAGAGAGAGGGGGAGAAGAGAGGGAGAGGGGGAGAAGAGGAGAGGGGGGGAGAGAAGGAGAGGGAGAGGAGAGGAGGGGGAGAGAGAGAGGAGAGGGGAGAAGAGAGGAGAGGGGAGAGAGAAGGAGAGGGAGAGAGAGAGGAAGAAGAGAGAGAGGAGAGGGTGTAGAGGGGAGAGAGAGAGGAGAGGGAGAGGGAGAGGGGAAGAGAGTGGAGAGGGGAGAGAGAGAGAGAGGGAGAGAGAGAGGAAGGGGAAGAGAGAGGAGAGGGAGAGAGAGAGGGAGGGAGAGGGAGGGGAGGAAGGGGAGAGAGAGAGGTGGAGGGGAGAGGGGAGAAGGAGAGGGGGAGAGGGAAGAGAGAGGGGAGAGGGAGAGAGAGAGGAGAGGGGAGGAGGAGAGGAGAAGGGGAGAGAGAGAAGGAGAAGGAGAGGGGGTACGAGAAAGGGAGAGGGGAGAAGAGAGAGGGGAGGGGGGCGAGAGGGAGAGAAAGAGGGGAGAGGGGGAGTAGGAGAGGAGAGGGGAGAGGGAGAGGAGAGGGGAGAGGAGAAGAGGAGAGGAGAGAGAGAAGGAGAGGGAGAGAGAAGGAGGGAGAGGGAGAGAAGAGAGGGAGGGGAGGAGAAGAGGAGAGGGGAGAGAGACGAGGAAGAGGGGAAGAGCAGAGAGAGGAAGAGGGGGGAGAGAGAGGGGAGAGAAGAGAGGAGAGGGAGAGAGAAGAGAGGAAGAGTGAGGAGATGGAGAGAGAGGGAAAAGAGGGAGAGAGAGGAGAGGGCGAAGAGAGAGAGGAGAGGGGAGAGAGAGGAGAGGGGAGAGAGAGGAGAGGGGAGGGGAGAGAGGAGAAAGAAGACAAGAGAGGGGGAAGAGAAAGAGAAAAAGAAAGAGACAGAAATACACATAGACCGACACAGACATAGACAGGCAGACAGATAAAAAGGGTAAAGAACTTTGAAAGATTCTGTTAGTGATAGTGTAATTTGAGTACTACACTATCACATTAGTTTGATATCAGTGGGCATGTCAAGTCCAAAGAAAGAAGACTCCACTGCTTGGTGGATGGACATCATTGGTGAACATCCCGCAATGCCTCCTCCCGTTTGAAGTCTTATTTATCGTCGCTTACGGCTTTCAAGAAGGAATGCGGAGCCCAGGTCTGTCCACCAGACCTATTGTACACACACAGATCATTCTCTCCCATTTGAGACGTAATTAATGCAGGAAGTGATCTGATTATGACTCACGAGAGTAATTGCAAACGAGGAAAATGCCTAATAATTAATAACTGAAGGTATATAAATGACAAAGGTGTCTGGTTGCACTCACCGGAGAGCGACATGAGCACGTCCTTGATGACGTACATCCAGACGGTGCGCCGCGGGTAGAGCTGGTCCATGGCGGCGTCGTGCAGCTCGTTGAGGTTGAGCAGGTAGATGCCCTCCTCGGCGCCGATCAGGATGTGCTGGTCGCGCGAGTCCGGGTGGATCCACGAGGCGGTGCAGTGCACGCGCAGCGGGCAGCCGTTGAACACCTTGCTGAAGCACGCGCCCATGTGCACCTTGGGCGTGGGCGGCAGCCCGTTCGACACCGGGCGCGGCGGCGTGTGGCGCTTGCGGTCGCGCCGCCGCGGCGGCACCGGCGGCGTGTCGTGCAGCAGGTCGGGCCCCGCCTCGCCGCCTGCGAAACCACCCACACCCGTCCCCTCTTAACCTCTACAACTGAGGAATTCGGTCCACCGAATACATAAAGAGACATACAGAAGGAAGAAGAGGTTTAACAGTGATATTCAAACATTTTTATCAAAGGTAAGTTTCTTACACCACCTGTATATAGAACTTGCAATAAGAGAATGGTCCAGGATTTATTTATAGACTTATAGATTTATTTATTACATGATAAAATACAAACTGACTGTCTATACAGAAATCCAGGACCATCCTTCTATTACAACACTTTTACTTAAAGTCAATTTATTTTATGGTAGTTCCTGAACTACGGACAAACATTAAAGGATATGCACAAAATTCAGGAAATCCAACGATTGCAGTACAACATGATTAATACTCAGTACTTAAGCAAGTGTTTGAAACAAAATAGTTGGCGGTTGGTTTCAGTATATAAACACACAAGAATAGGGGGGGGGTAGATTTAAAAAGATAATGAACATTTCAATTCCCAAATTACGTTTTACTTTTTTCGAGGTATTGAGTGTACCTGCTTAAGTTTTTTCTATTATTTGGTTTTGTAACGTATGTAATGTAATGAACAACAAATAGTAACTTTGATAACATTTCGACCTATGTAGCAATAATTAAGATTCCGCAAAAATGCACATATGTATTTCCTAAATATCCCTTAATTTTTCTAGGTAGTATAATTAACGCGTAAGGGTTTTTTTAAGCAATATTAACTGGCATTTTTGGTTTCGGAAAAAAAAAGAAAACATTTTGCTGCATTATTTAAATGAAACTAGCTGCACACATTACAACAGTCGAGTGAATTAACATTGCAACATTGTTGCTTGCGTATGAAACAACCTGGAACATACACAGCCTTCTCTCTCTCTCCATAAAAAAACTCGCGCCAGGTCGCCCAAAATGCCCCATATCATTATTTACAACCGAACACGTCACTCCACTTTACAATACTTTCAATTTGAATTTTTCAATCTATAAACAATTGGAAATAAATTAATATGAGACATTTACATAGATCTCTCTATTGGTAGTTTTTTTTTTTTTTTTTTTTCCAACAAAAAATATGTAAACTGTTAGACCACCTTTAAAATATTATGACTATATTTAAAACACGTTAATTGCTTCGAAATATTAGTAAACAACAGCACCAAAAAAACTCCCATTTAATCCAATATTTACAACTTGTTAAAAAATATTTTACCTCCGTACATTTTCTGTAGCCTCACTCAACTGGGCGGGACGGGAGTTTTCCCTCTGAAATCCTTCCCCGAAACCATCACTTCCCTCGGTTCTTTTTACACATTATGTAATTAATTTTCATACACACCGTAAAAGAATAAGGTATTTAGACAAACGAGACAACAGAATAGATGATAGAGTTTTTGTGAAGCATTGAACTAAAACGCGTAAATCGCTAACAAGCGACCATCCGACATTTAACATTTCATTTGTTGATTTAGTTTTCCTTCTAAGACCTCGCGGTCATGGCAGTTGGTACGAACTGTATCAGCTGGGTGCGCTGTTATCACTAACTTTCCATGATAGCATGCGCTCTTGGTTTCCACTGCACGAGTTGTTTCGCATTTGTGTTACACGACTTAACTTAAGTGGTGCAAGCAAGCTCCGTCGTTACAAGTTGGAGCAACTTCTCTTGACGAAAGGTTTATCTCGCACGCCTCGGGACTCCAGTGCGTGGCGTTACTAGTTCTCTCCACAATGAAACGTCAGGGCGCATGTGCTCAACCTCCCATCTAAGCGCATAACATACACGCTACGTCGTTTCACTGTGAAAAACCTATCAATTGCACAAGAAACACTTGAGACGTCTGTCTTCCAATCAAAATCAGAAAACCCATTCGTTCTATACGTTTTCTACAATGGTACGCTAAAAATCGATTAGCATACATCTGAAAGATTTTTGTAAGCTTCATTAAAGAACATGTGCTTGTGCTCTCTATAACACACTTTTTAATAAAAAAAACAAACTTCAAATAAAAAAGCTGAAAATCATAACCAAGTCGCTCAATATCTGGACCTAAAAATCTGATTCTAGAAACATTTTACGTACTATTATCGGAAAAAAGAACTCTGGGAAGTAATCGTAATTAAATACAATTACGAGGGTCACTTCAAACGTTTTGAGAAAACTATATTTAAGATCGACATAATTTCTTACCTTCACCTTTTCTCGAAGTACTCTCCACCACATACTTCGCAACGTTTATTCCGATTAAACCAATTTTCAAATGACGATCGCAGACTATTCTTTTGAGGTCGTGCGAATTGATCATATGCAGTCACTGCAGCTTGAGCTGGCACGAAACGATGCCTTCGATTTTTTTCTTACACGTAAGGGAAAAGAAAAAAGTTACATGGGGCCAGATCTAAACTGTACGGTGATGAGAATGTAATTTAACCCTAGATTCTGTCATAAATTCAGTTGTTGCTCTGTCTGTGCGACATGAGGCGATAGTGCAGCAGGATTCCATGCAGCCTGGTTTTGGACGGTTCTTCCTCAGCTCTTCAAAGAACCTGGGCAAGCAAATTCTAGTGTACCATCTTGAAGTGACTGTCTTTTTGTTCCTCGAGTGGCACTGTCACATATAGCTTCTGGCAGAGAAGAAAGAACAAATCATAATCTTGCCAACAATTCTGTAGTTTTTCACTTTCGTTGGGGTATTCTCATCTGGAAAGACCCACATTGATGACAGCCGATTCATTTCCGGATCAAATTGATACATCGCCAGTCACAATGTTAAAAATGTTTCTTGATCCCCCTCCATTGAACTTATCCAGGGTCTCACTGCACCAATCCATTCGCGTCCCATTTTGTTCATTTGTGGGGGATCCAGCGACAGCACAGCTTCCTCACGTGAAGCTTTTCTTCCAGAATGCGTCTCACGGCTGCTGATCCAATATCTAAAGCTTCCTGCATATGAGCATAGGTATATCGAGGGTCTTCCCTTAGCAAATGTTCCACTTTCACCAGATTTTCATTCGTTGTTGCTTGGTTGGCCCTGCATGAATTTCAGAATCCTCTTGAATTCGGCAAACCATCGATAGGCAGTGGCTTGTGAAGGGCAACCATTGCCAAACATTCGGAGTAATCTTTCAAGGCATCATTTCTTACCCAAAAGTCATGCAAAATCATAGCTCTGAAATGCTCTCTCTTCAAGCCTATCCTTACTGGCAGAGGAACAACTAATTGAACAACAAATAGCCCAGCTGACTTAATTACCGGAGCGTGCACAAGCTTGTTACTTAAAGTTCCATCTAACAATGGAAATAATCTCACAATTGCTCATTCTCAAAACTTTTGGAGTGACCTTCGTATATTGTTTCAGTGCCTTCCCGGTATGTAAGGATTATTTCAAGTTTTGTCTCATTGTATCTTGTTAAATAATTAAGCACCCAAGCAGATACGAATATAACACCTACTCGCTACCGTCCCTGCGTTCCGCAGGCGGGTAAAAGACGCAGTATATTTGATGTAATAATATGAAAGAAATAAAGGGAGGAAGAAAACTTTTCAAAATACAGCGTTATTGGTAACATTATTTACTTTATTACTGTGTGTGGTAAGAATTTTTCAGCTGACGTCTGATAGACCACGTTTCAGAAGGTAAGTTCCTCTGAAGAGACCCCTGCAACACCTGAATGCTCCGAACACAGCAGAGTCCCCCATGCAAAGCCCTCTGCGCGACGAGAACACACGCACTCTTACACAGACACTCCCTCCACAACCACCACCGCCACCGCCCCCACACTAAGCAGCACCACCACGTCCATACTTCTCCCTCCTGGCCCTCCCAACCAATGCACTGAGCCGATTCACACTCACACAACCATTCAGCGTTTTCCACAAATTGCAAAACATTCTAAATCGATTCACGCGTATGTAGTACGGGGATCTTCTCGTTCAATCCATTATCTACGAATCGGACAGCCCTCTGCACAGTTTTTTTCTCCGACAAACGTTATGTTAAGCCAACTTTTAGGGCCCACACCTTCAAGTGGCAGATCTAATTCTAGATTACTATGCGAAGAGGGAGGACAGGAGGGAGAGAATACATTAAATAACGAAATTTGCCTTACCGCACAGCACGATAAAGGTAAGAACTGAGTAACACAAAATACGAATCTCTTTCTAAGGCATTCTATCAAGATGAAAAATGGGATGTAAAACACAATGGCAACAATGCAAATAAAACCACTGCTTATTACTTACATGTAACGTCAAATTCCATTAACTACATTTAATAATAACGCATGCAACTATGTTGTTAATGCAGAATATTTGGCGTTTTGCTGCCCTTCTTCTACAATGTGGTAGTCAAAATTCTACCAAAACGCTAAAAATTCAAAAGAAGGAAATCCAAATTGCTACATATACACAAACAAACTGATCTAACTATACATTCTTATTATATACGTACATGACGTTCTTATAATTAAAATGAGTAAAAACCGCATTCTTCATTTTTTATTTCATCGATTTAATGGTTGGATTTATTCAATACATTCATCAGTTACCGTTATTTCGTTTGCGGTCAGTTACGGTCCACAATTCCTTTCATTCGAAATGCTCCGCACGTCGCAAGCTGTCATGTTACTGACAACGGCCCATCATACTGGCAAGTTCTCAGAATCTTATCCGCCATAAAAGCAAACGCATACGTAGACCTGCTACCGAAGTTCGTCACATGACAAAGACAAAAGTTGTGGCTGCGTAAGGTGCCAATTTCCGTTTTCTTGCTTCAGCCAGAATACTTTACTACCCGCACCAATAAAAGCTAGGTGCTCGACAGCACATACCTTCACGTATTATTTGTTCTTTCACCGTTTTCGAAAAGTTTGAGAGTTCATCGAAAATGAGATCTGATACTCGAGATACCGCGCCACAAGACGCCACATTTCGGTGTTCTGCGTAGGCGAGAGGAAGCGCGCGACAACCACAGCCCGGCGACACCTGCCCGCCGC